GCCCAGGCACTCAACCAGGCCCAGCCAAGTCGACACAACATAACCACCATAGAGGGCCTGAGGAGAGGGTTTTAGACAAAGCAGTGTGTTGGCTAACTCAGGCAGAGATGAATCGCATTCCCTCAAGGCTGAACGGTCTTGGAGGACAGTGCCTGGAATCACTCCGTTTAGGGCCAGATGCCTCTGCCCACCCGCGGCAAGCCCTTGTGTGCAGAACAGAACTGCCCCTTAGGGCTCTCCTGGCTGCAGTCTTTAGGGAAGCACATTGCCAGGTCTTCCTCCTATGGAGTAGCTCGGTGGGTTTGAACCACCAACCTGCCAGTTAGCAGACAAGGGCTTAGCCATTTTGCCACCAGGGCTCCTGCACTGGTCAGCTAACCTAAAGGGTCACCCTCAGTCAGAACTGACTCACCCACAACTAACAAGGGTGGCTCCTAAGAGCACTGTAGACCAGTGAGTCAATCTGGTCATTTCAGTTTGATAGGCCAGACTGTGCCAGTGGTAGGAGTTCACACTGGAGATGGGGCAAACCATTCTGGAAGCCTTTTTGAGGTCAGTTACCCTTGACCAGCTGTCTAGGGAAAGATGCTCTTTTAAGTATTCATGCTTTCATCCCACCCTGTCACTTCACAGACAGGAAAAGGTGGCACTGGTCCAAGTCACACAGCGACAGTGGTGATGTGCTTGCTTCCCGGGTGCTGACCTCAGACCCACTTTCCCTTTAAATGCTGTCACAGATTGGCTCGTGTCCTCTCCTAAAATGTGTCAACAAGGCCATGATTCTTAGTAATTTAGAAATTAGTAATGATATCATATGGGAGCTCTGGTGGCATAGTGCCTAAGGCATTTGACTGCTAACCAGAAGGCTGGTGGTTCAAAGCCACCAGCCACTCCTTGGAAGGAAGGTTGGGCAGTCTACTTCCATAGTGAGACTGCCTCGGACACCCAAGGAGGGGTCGCTGATGTCATGGGGCAGATATGTAATGACACCCCATGATGGGATCTGATGTGATAAGCCGATCAGGTATAAAAGGATTAAGATTAAAGGTGGATGCAACACCCCTAGTCCCAACACATCCTTGATCCCATGTAAGAGGCACTTTCCCCGGGGCCTGGCCTGCAGCACCTTTTCTTTCCAAAGATAAAAGGACAGAAGGGATCAGAGAAAGCACCAGAAGCACACCGTGTCCTTTGCCCGGGTCCCTGCACTGGGATCCTCCTAGGAACCAGGCTCAGAGAGGAAGCCTTCCCCTGGAGCCCGCACTCAGAACAGACTCCTAGCCTCCCACACTG